GATATCAAGAAACCCACTGTTTGTGCAATATTCCAATAACATTTACTATGTAGAGCAAATAAGATACTTGAAATAATTCCAAAACAGTTGTACCTGGGGCAGATGGCTTCTCAGGGTTTCTTCTGGCTTTAGGGCTTCAAAGTCTAGAGTGTGTTTTTTAAAGTAGTAACTTTAGATGCAGGTACTCCATGGTACTCTGAAAAATCAAATAACTGATCTCTTAAATACTATTTAACCCTATGGAAGGGAAATGCCAGAAAAAAGCCAAAAGACCATCACCCCAATGATGGAGAATTCCAACTGACCTCCCTATTCTTTTCAATGCCTGTAATACTAAGGTTTGGATCTTTTAAAATCACCTTAACAGTATAATTCTTTAGAGAATGTTAGGTCCTTCTCCTTTAAGGATAAAATTGCACAAGCACAGGACACCATGATTTGTTAATACATACCTTGGTGTGTTCAGCTTCAAGCCTTGCCATCCTTTAGAACATTGTGGTATGAATGTGTTTGCTAGGCCTGCATAATAACTAATCTATAGACCTGTTGAACCTTGTCATGTAGGACAGTTCACACAGGTTAATACTGAATGTAAACTAAAATTAGAACGAGAATTGTATTCAATTATTTTGGCTGTAACTTATGCAATTGCTTTTTGTGATTTTTAGAAAAGGAGGCACCTGTGTTACTTTATTACTGTAAAGTTTTCTCAACCAAAATTTGGTGAATTTCACTAGTTGGTCTACCTCACATTTTGTTTATGATTCTAAATTGTCTTAAGTTGTGTCTACAGTATGTTGTCCTTTTGTTTAATTTGGTGAATGTATTAAAATTCTCTCCCATCCCCCTCTCCCCCGAAAAAAAAGAAAAAGTTTGTTTTCTTTACACTAATTTTCTGGTATGTTCAAAACTGGAATGAGCTCCCTACCACTGGCAATGTCCAAAAAAGATATGTGGACTTCCTATCACAAGTTGGATAACTCTAAGATTTGACGATTCTGGCCTAACAGTTTAAGAAAAGTTTTAAATATATGTTGAATGAAAATCTGTAGCTTATACAAAGAAGATATATACACACACATATGAAGTATCTACATACCATGCCCATTTGCAGAGTCCCACATTAGGTATGGATGACAGACATACTAGAAATACTCAAGAGTTGTGGGGCGCCTGGGTGGCTCAGTGGGTTAAAGCCTCTGCTTTCAGCTCGGGTCATGATCTCAGGGTCCTGGGATGGAGCACCACATCCGGCTCTCTGCTCAGCAGGGAGCCTGCTTTTCTTCTCTCTCTGCCTGCCTCTCTGCCTACTTATGATCTCTGTCAAATAAATAAATAAAATCTTAAAAAAAAATACTCAGGGGGGCACCTGGGTGGCTCGGTGGGTTAAGCTTCTGCCTTCGGCTCAGGTCATGATCCCAGGGTCCTGGGATCGAGCCCCGCATCAGGCTCCCTGCTCAGGAGGAGCCTGCTTCTCCCTCTCTCTCTGCCTCTGCCTGCTGCTTCCCCTGCTTGTGTTCTCTCACTCTGTCAAATAAATTATTAAAAAAAAAAAAAAAAAACTCAGAGTTGGGGGCGCCTGGGTGGCTCAGTGGGTTTAAGCCTCTGCCTTTGGTTCAGGTCATGGTCTCAGGGTCCTAGGATCGAGCCCCGAGTCAGGCTCTCTGCTCAGCAGGGATGCTGCTTCCCCCCCCCCCCCGCCCGCCTGCCTCTTTACTTGTGATCTGTTAAATAAATTTTTTTAAAAAAAGAAAAGAAATAGAGTAGATCTGCAATCTTTTATAAATGGCAATTACACTCATTTTGGTGTCCTCAGAACTTTGTGTTGCAAGAACTGTGTAGTATGACAGGGTTAATCTCCAATTTACTTCCCAACTGCTTACTTTTAAGAATAACTTCATTATTCCAGAAAAATGCCTTTCAGTTCTATTATGTAAAGAGTGCTTAGCATAGTAGACTTTGATAAAGAACCATGAAAACACTCTTCTAAGCCAAGGACCCCTGGCCATTTACCTCAGGAGGGGGGATAAACGTTTGTTAAGTGTGGTGACACATTCAGGAGCAAGTAGAAACTGCTCCTGATATATAGTGTTCCACTATATATTCCAAAGCAGCTGGTCCACTGGAAGGACCAAAAGGCCGTGAAACTCTGACTGCTGTACCTCTGAATTCAACTACCTAACGCTAGAACAACATCTAGGCAACAAATATTCCTCAGGTCTCTCTTTCGTCATGGAAACGGACCTGTAAGTTTTCTCTACAAGAACACTGCTCTAACATCAAACCCTGGTTTTACTGAAAGAAACCATCACCCAATGTGATTTCAGAAGGGTCACTGAGGCCAATGTTTAAAGCCATTCACACAGTAAATTCCTTCTGCTCTTTACTGTCAAGTACTGAGCTAAGGAAAGCATCCACTTCAGTGACTAGGACAGCAGATGGAGTAAGTTCTAAGAGAGAGAAAGCAAAGTAAGTTTTCTGACCACTTTTTTGTTCTGTAAGTAGTCCAGTGTATTATATTTTTACAAGAATGGTGTGGCAGGAGGAGGGGTTATTATAAGACAGTATCTTCCCTTTATGTGCCAAAAGGCCTAAGGGCCGTGAGAATAGGTAGAAGACAAACTATGTCTGCAGTCACTCTCCAGAAACCAGCTCAGCAATCGTTTAACTCCTGGTGAAAATATGGCCAGACAGGACTAGATATCTGGGGCAGCCATGCGATCTAAGCAAGAACAATTAAAATGTCACTGCATGTCTACTGTACTTATTGTCCTTATGATGGGTCATGCTTCACTTGTAAAATCATGATTTCTTTATAATTCTTGCAATATATAATAAAACCAATCCATGTCCATGTAAAAAGGGGCGTAACTCATAAAACCTTGTGGTTCCTATCTATACTTCTATTTCTTATGTCTATATACTAATCATTTTTTTTTAAGATTTTATTTATTTGACAGAGATCACAAGCAGGCAGAGAGGCAGGCAAAGAGAGAGGGGGGAAAGCAGGCTCCCTGCTGAGCAGAGAGCCCAATGCGGGGCTCGATCCCAGGACCCTGAGATCATGACCTGAGCTGAAGGCAGAGGCTTTAACCCTCTAAGCCACCCAGGCGCCCCTATATACTAATCATTTTTTTAAAATATTTTTGAGAGAGAAGGAGTGAGACTGCATGTGTGCAAATATGAGAAGGAGAGAATCTCAAGCAGACTCCCGGCTAAGTGTGGGGCCCGACGCAGGGTTCAATCTAACAACCCTGAGATCATGACCTGAGCCAAAATCAAGAGTCAGATGCTCAACCGACTGAGCCACCCAGGAGCTCCAGACATTTTTATAATGAACCAACAACTATTCAAGGGCAGCTGACAAATTCATAGACATATTTATTCAATCACAATTACAGAATCACTTCTTTTGAAGTCTGACTGTGGCCATCAGTGTATACTCACTGCATCCATCACTGCCTCTACCACTCCAAAAAGATCGCTCCTTTCTTTCCTAGCGTCATTCTTCAGCCTTCAATTGTGATGCGGTAGTGCTGACCATTCTTACTATCAAACACTTCTTCTGGTATATACCACTCTCTTCTGACCCTCTTACCTCTTCTCAGGTAGTCTTCTTTGAGACTCCTAAATGATGGTGTTCCTCACAACTCTCTCCTATCCTGTCATTTTACAAAGCCTATGGTGGGAACATCTCTTCTAAACTTCTGAATATATTAATAAATTTCCTTAGTTCAAACTTCTCTCAAATTCTGGATCAACATATCCAATTTCACACCAAACAGGTATCTCCACTTGGAGATTCTGCAACCACCTCAAAATCTTTACCAAACTTGCACTCATCCTTTCTGGTCTAATCCTCCCAACATTAATTCTGCAGAATTCCCTTCTCAGTCAATCCATCTATCCAGTTACCCAAATCAAAATTCCAAATTACCCTAGATTCTCTGCCATGATCCTTCTTCAGTTGGTTATCAACTCTTTCAATTCTTCAATTGTATCTTCTCCAAGGTTAGCTGTCTCTTCCTCTTCATCAACACATCACAGCTTTAGTTCTGTGTTTCAGCATTTTTCACACTGACTGCTATAGCAGTCTTTTAAGCCTCTAAGTTCCAGATTCCTCACTTGAGTTGTGAGATAATAAAATAATCCAGCACTATACAGGTGTGACACATAGAAAACACTCAAAAGTTAGAAGTCATTAATACTACTCTTTGAGAAATACCTAGACTATAAAAGTTATTTGAGGGGCTGTGTCTTCAATATCAATGTGAAAATAATGGTTTTCCTAATAACTGTAAAGTAAAGAGTGCTTAGCATACTAGACTAACCAATCAATGTATATTCTCTACTCCCAGATCCCCCTGAAACCACCAAGTTCAGCTCCACAAAGAAGCATACTATGGCTTCTGTGGAAATTGGATCTGTATTATGAAATTAAAAGTTACCAGAGCATCTATAATGTACCTGAAAATGTCATCCTCTTTTTAAAAAGTTACACTCCCTGTCAGGCAAATGAGGAGACCAGGGATGACTAGAATAGTTTCAAGTCCAAAGCGAAAGGGAGTGTCAAAAGTCAGACTATCATAATGAGTCCGAGGGCAATATTTACACCCCTGCAAACAGAGTACAGAGATTTACATGGCTCTGAAAGTTTAAAAAGCATCTATCTATAGGGGGATAAAATACACATCTGCTAATTTAAAGTCCTAACTTTTAGCTGGTTTTTAACGAAGATATGATTATTTCAGCTCATAAAAATAATCTATGTTAAAGGATAGTGGTGCTTCACTCTTGGGCTACGGCCCTTTCTTTCTGTGAAAGACCAGAAAAATTCTCACGTTAGGTAGGATTTTGCCTTTTGAAGACCAAGTTCAGAGTTGCTACAGACATACTGGTCCTTTGGCAAACTGGTGAAACTTGTAAAAAGCTGGTGTTTTAATTGTTTTAAGGTATCAAAGCACAAATGACAACACACTATCATCACATTTATCACTTAGAAAAAGCTATCAAGTATTTTATTATTTTATTCTACATTATATACAGGTCATAAAAGGCCACAGCAGTTTTTCAACATATAAACCCTTTAAAAGTAGAGGGCACTATGAAGGATAGACAAGTATCAAAATGAAGTCCAGTAACGTGGGCATATACTCAGTGTAGTATTTCTGAGGAATAACAAAGCAGATACCAAGTCATCCATAGTTAGCTTAAAACTATTCCACAGGTTTTTATAAACCTCTTTGGGATTTGTTAATAGCCTAAGTGTGCCCAGGTGCCATTTATTTTAAGAAATAAAACCAGAATGAAAGAATAATAAACTTTAGAGGGTACTTTCTAATTCTAGTCACTTTATAGCTCTCCAAGAAGAAAAGCCTCAATTCTTTACCACCTTCCACTTCTTCGGGCTTCAAGAATAGGAAAGAAAGGGAAGAAAAAGCTCCCAAATTCTCCTGCTAATCTGGAACTTTGTCTTTTTTCAAGGGTTCCTTCAGAATGTATTTCAGGCCATTTAATTAGCTCTGAATTCCTTAATGTGCAATACTGCACCCTCCTTGAATAAGAACCCAAAACATTGGTTTCCGCTCTGTAAAAATACAATCTTTAAAACTATAACTGGTATCAGCAGATCAATATAAAAAAATACAGTACCAAGCTACACTGGTATATTTCCATATTAAGAACTTCAAAATATACTTATCACTGAGACCATAGTCCTTGCATTAGTTTTCAGTCCACTATGAACAATTATCTGCTGCATGTAAACATGTCTAAATAACTATAGATAAAATACATCAATCATAAATTTCTGTAAAAGATAATAAAATATCTTCTTTAAAAAACAAAACAATAATAAGCTATTACTGCATTGTTTCCAATTTTATGAAAATGGAACAACCTTATGGTTGTTGCCAGTCCTGAGTTCATTGTAATAAAAATGGCCCTAGTTCCTGGTTAAAGTCAGCAACCAATCCATTCTCTTCAGTAGATGTCTTCTAGTACTGCAGGCACAAATTTGTTTTAGGTGCTATTTTGTCCATTAATAAAATTATATACCAGAAACTGACCAGTGCCACAGTACTGTGTTGCAAATAGTTTTCCATCAGGAGTGGGATCTGAGAAAGCAATTTCTTCTTTACTCAAATATGAGCCATATATAAAGTTACTCCTATTAAAAAAAGAGGGGGGTGTGGAAGGGTAAAAAAAAGAAATTAATATTTTTATCATTAAAACTGGAAAAACCTATCAAGTAAAATTTGACCAGTAAAACTTTTAGGTAGTGTTGTATGTTCTAAAAATTGCCGAAAATAATCGCTCCTCTAGATTATTAATAATCTAAGGTAGAAAAATTTTTATGAAAGGAACAATGGTCTTAAAAACCATTTACCCAACACCTTTTCATGATAAAAACACTCAACAATTCTGAGTAGAAGGAATTTCCTCAACCAGATAAAGAGTATTAGAGAACATCAGTGTGAAATGAAAACATTAATGTGAAAGACTGAAAACTGTTTCCCAAAGATCAGGAACAAGATAAGCTATCTGTTTATACCTCTTCTATTTAACAGTGTACTTACTTACTGTAGGCTCTAGCCAGGATAATTAGACAAGGAAAAGAAATTAAAAAGCAGATTAGGAAGGAAGAAATAAAACTACCTCTTTCTGGAGACCGTTTGGATGACCTTATATATACAAAAGTCCTAAGGAATTCACAAAAAAACTACTAGATCTAATTAAAAATGAGTTCAGCAAGGTTGCAGAATACAAGAGCAATATTAAAAAATTAACTGAATTTCTATATACTTGAAATTAACAATCCAAAATGAAATTTTAAAAACAATTCCATTTATATTAACATCAGGAGAATACTTAAGATTAACAAAATAAGTGCAAGATCCGGAAACTTAAATAAATAGAACGACATGCCATGTTTATGAATCAAAAGAACTACAGCTGGCTTTCCAGAAATTAGCAAGGTGGTCCTAAATCTCATATGAAATTGGAAGAGTCACCAAGAGTCAAACGAACCTTGAAAAAGAATAAAACTTAAGAACTCACACCTCCTTATTTTGCAACATATTACAAAGCTACAGAACTAAAAACAGTGTGCTATGGCATAAGAATAGACTGATGGAATAGAGCTGAAGAGTCCAGTTATAAATCCTCACAATCAATGATTTTTGACATGGATGCCAAGACCACTCAATGGAAAAGAACAGTCAGCTTAATAAATGGCACAGGGACAACTGGAATGAAAAAGAGAAAGTTGTTGAATCCAATCCCACATCATACACAAAAATGAACTTAAAATGGTCAAAGACCTAAATGTAAGAACTAAAATTATGAACTCCTGGAAGAAAATACAGGTATAAATCTTTGTAGCCTTGCATTAGGAAATGGCTTCTTAGGACACCAAAAACACAAGTGACAAAAGAAAAAGATACATAATTTGGAGTTCAAAATTAAAGAACTTTGTGCGTTCAAGGACACCAAGAAGATGAAAAGACAGCTATGAAAAGGTAGAAAATATCTGCAGATCTTATATCTGATAAGGGACTTCTCTGCAGAATATATAAAAAACTATTAAAATAAGAAAAAGATAAACTAGTTTAACAATGGACATAGGATTTGAATAGGCTGTCTCCAAAGAATATCCATAAATGGCCAATAAGCACATGAAAAGATGCTCATTAGCCATTAGGAAAATGTAAATCAAACCCAAAATGAAATACCACTTCATACTCACGAGGATGACTAAAATTAAGAAGACAGACAATAACAAGTGCTAGTGAGGATGTGGAGAAATTAGAACCCTCATATATTGCTGGTGCGACTGTGAAACAGTATAGCTGCTTTGATAAGCAGTTTGGCAGCTCCTCAAAATGTTATACATACAGTTACTATGTGGCCCAACAATTCTACTCCTAGGTATATACCAAGAGAAATAAAACATGCAAATACGGGGCGCCTGGGTGGCTCAATGGGTTAAGCCTCTGCCTTCCGCTCGGGTCATGATCTCAGGGTCCTGGGATCGAGCCCTGCATGGGGCTCTCTGCTCAGCAGAGAGCCGGTTCCCCCCCACCCCCTGCCTGCTTCTCTGCCTACTACGTGATCTCTGTCAAATAAATAAATAAAATCTTAAAAAAAAAAAAAAAAAGGCAAATATTTCTCTACTTACCAAGGGAAATAAAAATACACAAAAATTTGTACATGAAATGTTTGCAGATTATTCCTAACAGCCAAAAAAGTGTAACCACCCACCCCACATTCATTAACTGATAAATGAAATGCACATCCACACAGCAGGATTTTATCTGGCAATAAAAAAAGGGATGAAGCACACAAACACATGCTACAGCATGGATGAGCTCTGAAGCATGCTAATAAGGAAAGAAACCAGTGACAAAGGTCATATATTACAGGAATTCATTGTATGAAATGTTCAGAACAGGAAAATCCATTCAGACTGAAAGTAGATTAGTGACCGCCAGAAGGTGAGGGAGAGGGAAATGCGGAATGACTGCTAATGAGTGTGGGTTTTGGGGGGACAGCGATAGAGATGTTCTGGAATTAGTGGTGATGGCTGCACAGCCTTGTGAATATACTAAAACCCACTGAATTGTATAATTTAAAGAGATGAGTCTTATGCTATGTAATTATATCTCAATAAAGCTGCTATTTAAAAACAATTTTTTAATTTAGCCAAGATACAGACTATTAGAATTTTCACACTGTAATCTTAACAAAGTGAGCTAGGTACATAAGAAAGAACAATAAATGAATAAAGTAGAAACTCTGTATGAGTTTTAACAGGAAGCTTATGGGGGCATCTCATTATCGCACAGAACAAAGGCAATGGCTATCCTGTTTAACGTTTTTATAAACTTAGGGTTGCCATAAGACCTAAATTTACAAGATTTAAAGGAGGAGCAATACCCTCATACATAGGATAATTATTTAAACAGTGCATTTTCCAGGTTTAGTTTTGAAAGAGCTAAAATAAGACCCGCCTCTTGCCATGACAAGGGTGAATAGACCTGAGCCCTCCTGGATCACTACCTATAATAAAATAAGAAGGAAAGACCAGAAACACATTAAAGTTCTAAGATTCCTAGAGCCTTGGTTAGGAGCTCACTTACAATAATGATGGATTACTTTGACAGCTGTATCTACAGATAATAGACAGGGATTCTAGGAATAAAACGTCATCTGCATTAATTTGAACCTCCATTAACCCTTTGGCAAAGGTGCTTGAAAGAACAAAAAATAAAACATGCAATTTATCTGAGTCTTCCTCTATACCTTTAATTTAAAATCAAGCAATAAAAGCAAAAAGAAAAACTAGTAGGAGACTTAGATAATTTACAAACGATATTTAAGACAAATTTCTGTAAAAGCAATTTTAAATTCCAAAAAAACCTTCCCACATTTATTTGGTTATCTTCAAAATTCTCCAATACTGAACAGTTTGAAATAAGTGGATTATTTTGGCCTAATATCATAGTGACAAGTAAGTAAAAATAGTTTAATAGGATTTAACTGATAGTGCTTGCTCCCCCACCCCCAGATTAACTTCACATAAAAGACAAAGATCCAATATACTGACAATCTTATGCAAATTTTGAATTAAAATATAAGTTATACATTTAAGATTAAATGCCAATCTTGATATGAAAAATCCACTTAAATCTTAAAACTACAGAAAAGGACTTGAAGGATGACATTCAGTTACCTCAGGCATTCAATCATGCGAGAAGCAATTTTCTTCCGACGCATCATGCTGAACACCCATATCCGACTGATCCCACAGATTGCAGGCTCTGGTAATGTTGAGCAGCACCAGGCTTTCTGCCTTTCAAATCTGACTTTTTCTTCTTCTGACCTGATAACTGGATGCTTCTCTTCTATAACTCTGTACCCCTAAGGTATCAAAATTAAAGACAGAAAAATTTTAAAGTGAGAATATTAATTAGCAACTGTCTAGTACTGACCTCAGTGCAGAGGCTGCTACATTTGTCTGGCTTAACAAACTATGGGGGCCACTTACGCTTTCATTCTTACTTCAGGAAACAGACCTGACTCTACATTCTGTTTTAATTCACTTACTAGTTATGACCACAAAAGCAGTCAACAAATTAAGATTTGGGTTCCTCATCTATAAACTAGAGATATCTACCACTTCTCTCAGAAAATTGTAGAGAAATTAAATAAGGTAATACATACAAAATACCCTGCCCATCATGGCTGGTCCATTTTTTTTCTTCTACCTCCCACATTCTAAGGACAAGCAAAAGTACACGTCAAGAACTCAGCAATCACAACAACTGTTTCTGTGATTGCTGCCACAGTTCTAGGGGTCACAGCTGTGCAGAAACTATGAGGAGGGATGGCAGAAGAATCAAGAATTTAAAAAGCTGCTTTCCCCACACTCCCATCTCTTTAAAACACACACACACACACACACACAAAAACAAAGAAAACTAAAGTGCTATAAAAAACATAGCATCTCCTCTATCAGTCTAGTTGGACCACAGCCAACCTTCTGATGGAACATGGTACAAATCTTAAAACAATGAGATAACATGATGAAGAATTAACAAACATTACATAGCTATCCTCTAAACACTGCAAAAGTCATTTTTAGAACTTGGGAGAATAGAAATTAAAAAAACACAAGGGTATACACTATGTAAAATTAACTCAATTTCAATATGGCAAACTCTACAAGTTGTTTTATATCAAATTTATATCCACAAATTACCTTATCACAGCTATTCATTTAAATCAATTTTTTAAATATAAACAGCAAGATTCATAAAGCTACACAATTTAAGACTGATTTTTTAAAATTAACACATAGAAACTAACTCAAAGATTTGTTTTGACATTTTGTAAGAAAATTTTGATAAAACATATGTTTTCAGGAAATTATTAATGTCCAGAAAGATATCAACTGAACAAAAGTCAAATCCAATGTGCACTGAATTCACAAACAAGAACTCAGCCTGAAAAAAGACAGAATTCAAATGAGGTATTCCTCAAAATGAGCATGATTAGAGGGTCTAGAATCTTCTGTTCTCTTAAGTTGGTCTGTTACTACGTAACTTACCCAATGTGAATATATCCCTTACTGTGATTCTTTTTTGTACAATGTGGCTCCTAAATACAAGTCAATTTCTCACCTAAAGCTCAAAGAAGTGGTAATCTATCCTGGGGGTGAGCAACTTTTTATAAAGAACCAGACAGATAGTATTTTAGTTAGGCTTTGCAGCCCACCAGGTTTCTGTTGCAACTACTCGACTCAGTCTAGTGTAAATCAGCCAGAAACATTATGTAAGCAAATGGGCATTGCTTATTATTATATTGTATATATATTATATTATATTGTAATTATATTATAATTAAATTTTATTTACAAAAATAGGCTGGATTTTGCCCTCAGGTAATAGTTTGCCAAACCTTTGCTTTATTCCAGTGCTGAAGGAATGAGACAAACATTATATTAATATCCAACATGGAAACTTCCTAAACAAAATATAACAGTACTTTTTGATTTACAGAATTTTTATTTTATATACTGACTTGAGAAACTAATTCCCATGCAAGACACAACTCTGCTTAGTCAAAACCTACACATGGCAATTCCAACATTCACATTCACATACATAAAATGTAAATTTACCATGACTGCTACTCAAGATTACACAGTAAACTCGTCAGACACTCAATTACATACGAACACTCTTTAAAAGTCACTTAACTTACCCACTGGATATGTTCCGCAATTAGGCAGCCAACTACTTTTTTGTCATTAGAAATAAAGAGAAGTGTTTTAGTTCTGGAATAGCACATTAGTGGGGCCTGTTGGAAACCTAAATCATTATCAACCATCTCTCTAATCTCGTCAACCTGCCAAATAAAGAACAATATTTTTTTGTAACAATGAAAGAAAGCATTGTATACATGTTAAGACATACTATTTCAGTTCAGTAAGTTGAGTATATTATTCCAAGCAGGATATTGCCTAAAGAAGAGTTCTTTCCAATGATTATGTTAACCAATAATGGTTTTCAAGGCCTGTGGAACAATGTGCAAAATGGAGAAAGAACTGGACAGTAATGTCAAGCCTTGCAGTCTAAATAACAAGAACAGTGAGAGCCCCTACAATAGAGAATAAGAACATTAAAGCATTAGAAGCATCATGGGTTTGAGAACTGGAGAGAACTTTACTGGAATCTTAGCCAGGCAAGGCTCTTTTCTTCCCAAGCCTTAGTTAGTACTCTCATCAGTAAAATGGAAGTGGGCACAGAGGAAGAAACACACATTTACTTCTTAACAACCACTGGCCAGATACTATGTACTTTATAAATATTATCTTACTTAAATCCAACATCTCTTGGTCTATGGTCCCTTGCAAATGTATATGCAAGAAAGTAAGTTCAAAGGTAACTCTCCCATGTCAGATACTGGACATCTAGAAAACGAGGGAACAGAGCTTTGAATCCATAATGCTAATATGGCATCAAACTGTGCTTCTTCTAGTCTACCTCCTAGAATTACGGTCAAGGTCAGATATGATAAACTCAAACTTCTGAAGGGTCAAAGGTTTTTGTAGGTACTCAATTATTAGTTCCTTCCCCAGTTAAAAAATAAAATGCAAATATTCAGGGGCGCCTAGGTGGCTCAGTGGGTTAAGCCTCTGCCTTCGGCTCAGGTCATGATCTCAGGGTCCTGGGATCGAGCCCCACATCGGGCTCTCTGCTCGGCAGGGAGCCTGCTTCCTCCTCTCTCCCTTCATTCCCCCCTGCCTTCTTGTGATAGCCTTTCGCAAAAAAAAAAAAAAAAAATTTAAAAAAAAAAAAAAAAAAAGCAAACATTCAGTCCAACAGTCATTTGTGTTACTACTAAGTTTAAAATGAAAATAAACCCTTGGAGGGTTAAGTATTCATACCTCTGACATGCAGAATACCATGTAATACATCCCTTATTCAGGGATGAAAACTCCAGCCCTCCTAATGCTGGAATAGTATCCCATAACACAACTCACAATTCAGTTCCTGAAGGCAAATGACTCACAATTCCTTAGATTTTCATTTTTAACCCATTATGGATTACTAACTAGTAACATACTACACTGGTACTAAGATTTTTCCTGAGAAACTAAAATGAGGAAATTAGCATTTACTGAAGATTCTTAATCAAGAAAAGTCTGGGGGCGCCTGGGTGGCTCAGTGGGTTAAGCCTCTGCCTTCAGCTCGGGTCATGATCCCGGGGTCCTGGGATCGAGCCCTGCATCGGGCTCTCTGCTCAGCAGGGAGCCTGCTTCCCTTCCTCTCTCTCTGCCTGCCTCTCTGCCTACTTGTGATCTCTCTCTGTCAAATAAATAAATAATCTTTAAAAAAAAAAAAAGAAAGAAAAGTCTGAATGCCACATATGGTGGTGTAGCAAAGTTCCCACTGTTCATTTCCAATGGTAATAGTTGGAATTCCAAAAATTCCATGATTTAATTTTCATTGAGTCAATCACTAATCCAATATTAATTAACAAAATTTCTTTCTGTGACAAGGATGAATGTTTCAAATACAAGACAGGTGGCATGGTTACGTGTCATTCTAAATGTTACTGTCTATATTATTAGGCAGTGGTAGTATGAGGACTTATTTGGTTATCTGGGATTGTCCAGTCATACATAATAAAAGATATGTGAAAAGTCAAAAAACACAACATAATGTAGAATGTTAGTTATATTTTCAAATAATAGGTTCACCCTTTCAAGTGATGTTTTACTAAATTTAAAGAGGTCCTATAGTTAACCTTAAAAAAAAGGATAAAACATTTTCCTTGTGTTTTCTAGACACTTTGGACATACTCCAGGTGAAACTAAGTTTTTCAAAAAATACTGCTTTACATTATAAGGTACTTCAGAAAAAGCAAATGGAGGGTGAAAAAACATTTGAGCATATTATTGCAAAATGTAATTAATATTAACTCATTTCATGGGTGCCTGAGTGGCTTAGTGGGTTAAACCTCTGCCTTCAGCTCATGATCTCGGGGTCCTGGGATCGAGCCCCACATCAGGCTCTCTGCTCAGCAGGGAGCCTGCTTCCCCCTCTCCCTCTCTGGCTGCCTTTCTGCCTACTTGTGATCTGTCAAATTAAAAAAAAAAATCTTTAAAAAAAATATTAACTCATTTCAAAATAAGTTTATCCTATGGTTTCCCGCCTTTTAAGATACACAATATAATAAAATGATTCCAGACTTCATTATCTCTCTGAACCTTCAAAGTATGGAACTCTAAATTTGGACTAAGCCTGGCTCACACCAGCTAAGAGGACTTCTTTAAATTTTCTACCTTATAACTATAAATCAGATATCTTTTTTTCTGAAAATTATATGTTTATCTCATGTTTAATTTCAGAACTTCTATAAGTTAAAAAAAAAAAAAGATTTATTTATGAAAAAGAAGAGCAGTGGGGGGAGGGGCAGAAGGCGAAACAGTGTTATGCAGACTCTCAGCAGAATCCATCTCATGACCCTGAGATCACCACCTGAGCCGAAACCAAAAGTCAGATTCTTAACTGACTGTGTCACCCAGGTGAACCTCTATGACCTATTATTCTATCTTCTTCTACAATAAGCTTTTGTTTAAAAATTTACTCTCAATATGAAACTTTACAGTTGCTAATTTTTTCTGTTGTCAAATTTTAATTATAATTCTAATTTTTAAAGGAAAGTAATACATTTTTCAAAATTTTAATTAATAGATTTATTTATTTTAGAGGGAAGAGGACCAAAGCAGGGGGAGGGGCAGAGAGAGGGGGAGAGAGAATCCCAAGCAGATTCTACACTGAGCAAGGAGCCCAATGTGGGGCTCAATGCAGGGCTTTTTCTCACAACCCTGAGATCATGACCAGAGACAAAATCAAGAGTCAGATGCTTAACTGACTGAGCCACCCAGGCACACCCCTAAGTTTTTTGTTTTTGTTTTTTTTGTTTTGTTTTAAAGATTTTATTTGTTTATTTGACAGAGAGAGAAATCACAAGTAGGCAGAGAGGCAGGCAGAGAAAGAGGGGGAAGCAGGCTCCCCGCTGAGCAGAGAGCCCAATATGGGGCTCGATCCCAGGACCCTGGGATCATGACCTGAGCTGACGGCAGAGGCTTAACCCACTAAGCCACCCAGGCACCGCACCCCTAAGTTTTTTATGTAAGTTATCTCTGATCTCTATACCCCATGTGGGACTCGAACTCACAACCCCAAGATCAACAGTAACACAGTCTTGCAACTGAACCAGCCAGGTACCCCTGTAAATCTGAAGTCATTTATGTGGCATTATAAACTAGCATGCCTTTTATTCCATCACTCAAATTACTGATAATATGGGACACTAACCAATTCACTAAAAAATTTGTTTCACAATCCGAGACCCATTTTAAGTTTAAGCATAATTTTTAAGTATATTTTTTAAATGTTTATTCTTTATTTCTAGAGCTGGTGTTTAAACATGCTATGCGTAATGCATCACCCTCTTAAACTAACTACAAAATTACATTATCCAGGGGCACTTGGGTGGCTTGGTTAAGCATCTACTTTAGGTTTGGGTCGTGATTCCGAGGTCCTGGGATTGAGCCCCTTGTCAGGCTCCCTGCACAGTGAGGAGCCTGCTTCTCCCTCTCCCTCTGTTCCTCCCCTGCTCTCTCTCTCAAATAAAAAATTAGACATTATCCATCCTACATGAAATTTCACTAGACATTTACCTTTTTCAGAGCATACTTTGGGTCTTCAGGAAGAACCATTATTATCCTGCCATCAGGATATTCAGCCAGAATTCTTTCTTTTTTCCAACCCTAGATATAAAACATATGAATTAATTTTATGTTATCATATTTCATTTATCAGATTCACATAGAAGAAAAATATATTGATGTATCTAAAAATTGCAAGTATGGAAAAATATTCTCAATGTTTAACTAATAAGATATGAATCAGCTATTTTGTTAAGCATACAGTAGGTAAAATGCAAACTAGTTTCTCTATACTACTTATTCAGAAAGCTAATACCATATAATATCCTTATCATTTCCCATGTTAAATTAATTTTGAAAATCACACACCAAAAACAAGCCCCTTAAAGTCAGGGATTCCCAGAGCCTAAAAGATAATTCTCCCAGTTTCTTGAGAAAAGAATTTAACTCATAAATTTCTTTGGAACATGGTTACCTCCACAAACACACACTCATGGTTTTATGTCTGGCATGCCAAAGACCTCCAGGAGGTTTTAAATGAACTGATTTGCATGCAATAGCCCAATATGTAGTAAGGAATAGTTTTTATTCTTATTGATCACAACTATCAAAGTCACAAGAAGGAGACTATAAAAATATAACTACCTTCTAAGAATCTAATAGGGAAGGAGAAGCTACGTTGTGTGTATCTGAAGTTAACATACTCAAAAAAAGAGAGGTAATAAACTCTTCTTCAGATCCACACTCGTGGTGATTAATGAGCAGAACCTGCATGAAAAAAAAAACAAAACAAAAGCCACTTAAATCTAGTAAGATGGGACTGAACCAGAGGTTAAAACTAGGAGCTTTGAAGTTCATAATAAGTACAGAAGGAATGAGCTTAACTGGTTGTTTCATTTGTCTTACCCAACCAACTCTACATTAAAAAATAAAGAAAAGAAAAGAAAAGAAAAGAAAAAAGGCCTTTCAAGAAGCAATACATACTTCTACTAGAGGAAACCATGATCCTGAGATCGTTTAAGACTATGAAAGCTCAATAAAACCAAGAAAAAAGTAACTACATTCTTAAAAAATATTAAGGCAAGTCAGAAAAGAAGCTGATTTTCTTAAACAATTTTGAGTGATTTTTTGAGGAAAGGGGTAGGATCTTGGGGACAAAAAGTCTAGTAATAAGCTTGGTAAATGTAACAATCTGAAGTATTTAAAATGAGAATTTTTTTAAAAGACAGAGCACCCAAAGATAAAAGTAAACTTCAGGTGATTATGATTGGTTAAAAAGTTCTCAAGATCTGAAAAGGAGCAGAAACAACAGCCACAGAAGTCATTTCTTTTCAAATTAGAAATTAAATATGAATTTAAGTAAACAATTTTTAAAACATAAAGAAGATATCACCTCTTAAAAAACAAATTTATATTACTATGTTAATTTGGGAAATGCTTCTAAAATAAACCCATTTTCAATAAAATGAAAAAGGAGACTTCTCATTTTAAAAGTTGAACTACAAATTGAATGAGGAACTGGAAATTTTAAGTAACCTCCACTTTTAAGAAAGTCTTAAGTGCCTGGGTGGCTCAGTCAGTTAAGTGTCTCCCTTCGGCTCAGGTCATGATCCCATGATCTAGCCCCGCACTGGGCTCCCTACTCAGCGGGGAGCCTGATTGTCCCTCTCCCAGTCCCCCTGCTTGTGTTCTCTCTCTCTCAAATAAGTAAATAAAATCTTAAAAAAAATTTTAAAAAGTCACAGTTCCTGAGCTGAATTATCAAAACAAAGTAAGAAGAAAGAGAGACACCTGAGTGGCTCAGTCAGTTAAGCTTCTGCCTTTGGCTCAGATCATGATCCCAGAGTCCTGGGATCAAGTTCTGCATCAGGATCCTTGCTCAGTGGGGAGCCTGCTTCTCCTTCTGCCTCCTGCTCCCTGTTTTGTGCGTGCACGCACCAAAAAAAAAAAAAGGGTAAAAATTCAGGGTTTAAGGGTGCCTGGGTGGCTCAGTCAGGTGAGCAACTGCCTTCAGCTCAGGTCATGATCCCAGGGTCCTGGGACAGAGCCCCGAGTCAGGCTCCCTGATCAACAGGAAGCCTGCTTCTACCTCTCCCTCTGCCTGCCATTCTCCCTGCTCGTGGTCTCTGTCAAATGAACAAATAAAAACTTAAAAAAAAATTTTTCAGGGTTTAAAGCCTTATTTTGTTGTTACTAGCTATACGACCTTGCGCAAATCACAAACTCTGTTTCCTCATCTAGGATATGTACAAAATAGCTGTCACCACCTCCATCACTTAGTTTTTAAGAGGGTTGTATTTAAAATAATTTCTCGGGGCTCCTGGGTGGCTCAGTGGGTTAGGCCTCTACCTTCGGCTCAGGTCATGGTCTCAGGGTCCTGGGAGAGAGCCCCACATGGGGGCTCTCTGCTCGGGGGGGGGAGCCTGCTTCCCCTCCCCCCGCCCTCTGCCTGCCTCTCTGCTTACTTGTGATCTCTCTGTCAAATAAATAAATAAAATCTTTAAAAAAATAAAATAATTTCTCACACAGAGTAGTCACTCAGGAACTTCCATTCTACCTTCCTAATGATACCAAACTAAGATCAGCACACTACTCTAAGAAAGCACAAGTTAATTAATAAAGTTCCCTAAGTTAAATACAACATCATGGACAGATAAAAGAAGCATGTTGGCCATGTATGGCAAATAACATACTCAAGACATTTATAGGCCTCAACTGTGGTTATCTCTTTCTTGGAGTTAATAACCACACAATCCTCCTGACTTTAAAAGGTTTAGATAAGGGGTGCCTGGGTGGCTCAGTGGGATAAGCCTCTGCCTTCAGCCCGGGTCATGATCTCAGGGTCCCGGGATCGAGCCTCGTGTCAGGCTCTCTGCTCAAGCAGGGGAGCCTGCTTCCCCCTCTCTCTCTGCCTGCCCCTCTGCCTACTTGTGATCTCTCTCTCTCTGTCAAATAAATAAATAGAAATTTTTAAAAAATGTTTAGAGGAGACTATCTGCTGCTTGAAACTGAGGCAGAGGGGAAGATTGTAGGGGAAGGGTACATACAATTTAGAGGAATAATCAAACAGGGACAGCTTTCTGCAAAAATATAAATTCCAATGCAGTGCATTTAAACTTCTCACCTTTAGCTCTAACATGTTACAAACATCCCTCTGCTAATGAGTGTATTTTCCAAACCCCAAATTTTCTTAATTCACCCATCTGGCTGTGAAAGCTTTATATTCCTAATAGCAATCAATGATTATTTGTTGTTCCTTTGCCACTGTACTTACTCAAAACTTAAGAATCTAAAGAATGGAAAGGATTTCTCCTCTTTTCCCATTTAAAAAATATATTAATCAGAAACAAAACACATTAAGTGGCAGATACACTGACGTATACAATTGTCAAAATTCACCAACCAAACATTTAAGATCTGTGCATTTAACTGTATGCAAGTTATACCCCAATTTCATACTAATCACTTCAATACTAACTTCATACTAAAAACTTTAAATACTAAAGTTCATACTAATCACTTTAATAAAAGGCTGAACAAGAATACCCATAGAAGAATACCCTGAGAAATAAAACCAACAACCAGTTTTTTAAAAAATTACCAATATTTTAAGAAAAAGACATAGAGGGAAAACCTGTAGATTAAGAGAGACCTAAGAGATATACCAACAAATGCAATATATGGATCTTAATTCAAACAAATGAACAGTACAGAAATTGTACTTGGAGAGCTTTGAACCCTAAGGAAACATCTGATATTAAGGAATTAACTGATTTTTCTTAAGGCGTGGTTATAGTCTTTAAATAACTTTTATGTAAAAAACAGTAATCTTTTCATCTTTTAAATGAGTGATTTAGTTTTTTTCCTTTTAGCTTGTCTATATTTCCTAGTTATTCTACTTTCATAAAATGGTGTAATAAAGGTATTAATATACTTAACTATCCCAAGCAGCTGGTTTGAAGTGCGTGTTTGGAACTTTTTTTTTTTTTTTTTGGAGAAAATAATCATATATTATCAGCATTACTGATAGAGATATGTTTCTACTCAGTGTGACCTTCACTGAACTATGAAGTATGAAGTCAAACAATTAAATGGCAATTAGGTGAAAAAAATTCAATCAATTCAAGAAATATCTATTGACCACCTACCATGTGTGCACACCACTGATCTAGGGAGCACCAAAAAGCGATAAAGAAGACTTTAAAAATCAGTGATACCAAGATTCAAGTCCAGACTCTGCTATTTACTAGGTGTGTTGCCTTGGGCCAATTACTTAACCTCTCTAAACCCTCATTTCCTTGCCTATAAAATGTATATAAAAACTGTAATATAAAGTTTTTGAGAAGCTGAGAAAACATGATAAAATACTAAGCACAGTGCCTAACACAAATAATACACACCCAATAAATAATATTACTATCATTATGGTAACAGCATTTCTGGTAGGTTTTTTCATCTGTGATACTTTTTTTCTTTTTTTTAAGATTTTATTTATTTGAGAGCAAGCGAGCGAGCGAGCAAGCCCATGAGCAAGGGGAGGGATAAAGGGACAGGGAGAAGCAGACTCCCTACTGAGCAGGGAGCCCGGCATGGGACTTGATCCCAGGACTCTGGGATCGTGACCTGAGCTGAAGGCAGATGCTTAACCAACTGAGCCACTCAGGTGCCCTTATCTGTGATACCTTCACAAGGTCATTTGTGATCTAGCTCCTCATCTACCTCTTCAAGCTCCCTCTCTTGAAGCTTTCCTAACACATGACCCAGTCATGGGTCGTAACACTTAAAATATCCCAACTTTCACACCCATTATTCTTCTAGTTCAATGCCTCTGCTCTACACTCTCCTGGGCACAAAGGACTCCTAACTTGTCCTTTCCGACTCTACTTAAGTATTAACCTCACTTTTCCAACCTTTGTTGGATATCCTTAGGCTCTATATTCAGACAGTACCCTGTATGTATTACTACTGTAGCACTTTCCATACGATTTAGATATGTTTACTTATCTGTCCCTTGTGCTACCTGTAATCCTACATGATGGGAAAAATTATCTTTTTAGTAGCAATTTTTAAAATTTAATAATAATTTTAATAATAACTTTTAA